AGTAGTCTGTTTTCATGCTTCTACATCTGTAGGAGGATTTGGGTGGGAAAAATCCAGAGTCTGGGCCTGAGTCCATGAAACCCTGCTAGTGGACATGTGGGCACATCTTCTGTTATTCCGCCCCTCTTCTCAACCCCACCCCGACCTGAGCACCCGCAGCTGTGTCTGGAGAACTCTGACTATAGGGATCCAGTCTGGGCACACTGGCAATCGCAGGCGGCAAGGCTTTTGTTCTGGCTGTTTCTCATTGTACATTAGAATTGAGTTTAAAGCCCATCCCACACCCCCTCCCCCTGAGGAAAGGAGAGGCGATGACAGCTTGCGGATGGTTCTAGCAGGCCCTACCTCGCTCAACAGCTGCGAACTCTACCCTATAGCGAGACCCTGAGTCATTTGGGCCTCTCTCCTCAGAGAATGAAAAGGGTCACATCACCTCCTAAACTACTAGTCTCGCGTGGGGACGGGGACCTCCAGCCTGGGATAACAGGGAACAGGCTCCGACACTCTTTTTCCTCGCTCCCTCAGAAGCACGCAGGTTTATCGCACACACGCGCCCAGATAGTAGTAACAAAGGAATCGTTTCTTCCTCGAATGCCTAGAAAATGCGGGTTTGACAGGACTGCGGGTGCACCGCGTCTGCGCACGCGCTGATGCTAGTGCGCCAGGGTCTGCGGTGGTCTCTTGCTAGCTCACGGTGCTGCAGTTTTTAGGCGTGTCCCCCACTCTTCTTCCGCAGCATCAAGGCTGGGACCTCGTGGGTGCTGCAAAGGAAGATAAGAATGCTCTAGGTAACTATGGTTGTCGGATCCCACCCCCTTCCTTACAACAGATGAACCTAACACGGGCAAGGACAGCGCCTGGCTGGTTTTTAAATACTCAGTTGTGGAATACATCCCATGCTTTTGTGAACCCTTTGTTTCCCCGACAGGCCCGCCCCCAGAACTCCACCCTCGGTCTGCCCGCAGCACAGTTCATGCAGTGCGGCCTGCCACACCCACTCCATCACTCGGGAGGAACAAAAGCCAATCACAGGGTGGAAGGAGTCCTTGGTATCAGGCTGACGCTGTGTAGTCTTGTAGTGGGTCAGGCAGGGATGGGCATAGAGGTCCTTCTGCCCCTGAATGCTGCTACTGCAGTGAAGGAACAAAGTCAACAAAGACAGGCAAGGACAGCTGAGGCTATGGGAGGAGAGGAACACACTCTGATGCTCCGCAGTGTCCAAAGTAATCTTTTGGACCTCTGTTTTTCCAATTACACTGGACTTCCTGGGATCACTTGTCTTTTCCCAAAGTTTTGTGTAATGCGCGTATGCGCCTGGACAGTCATTGACCTCCAGGGATGAGGAAAGGAGCAGTATTTTCGCCAGGTACATTGGCTTCTCGAAGCCTGCCCAGCGTTAGGAGGGAATTGCTCGTAACGCAAGTTGTTAGATTTAGTCCCCCCACCTAGTGCGCAATGACAGCACCCGACTGCACCTGCTGTAGTTGCCCTCGCTTCCCTATCCATTACCAGCCCCCTCTCAATCCCCAGCCTATGGGACTAATCACCCCGCCTCGCAACACTCTGGCAGTCTTCGTGTTCCCAGTTCCCAGTTCCCCATACTCAGCTTCCCCTTCCCCTCAAGTCCGAGACAATGATCACGCCCCAGATACTCCCAGGAACCCCCCCACCCCTCGCAAGGTCTTCACGCCAACGCTGATTGGCCACAAGCCCATAGTCCAGCCCCCTGGACCATCCCTGGGGCTCAGAGCATTACGTCAACCCGGCCTGGAGAGAGCCAGCGAGAACAGGAGTGGGGGGCTTTGGCTGGGGGGCGCGGTCTGTTTGGTCCGCCTCACCCTCCCTACATAAAAGACCGAGCCCACTCGGCCGTCGCCCTCAGCCCATCGGTTCCGGAGTAAGTTCCAGGTGGCCCTACAGTGGGTGTGGAAGGGGAGGACCGTCAGACCCACTGACACATATTCAAGCCAGCAAGAAGCTAACGAGGCACCATGCGAGAGATCGTGCACATCCAAGCGGGCCAGTGCGGCAATCAGATCGGTGCTAAGGTGGGCCAGCTGCTTAGAGGGGATGGGCGGGGGGG